TGCTCCATCCGTTTTATAGTGCCGGCGCTTGCCAGTGTCATTGGTTTAGTCCGGCCACGGTGATCGACCCGCCGAAAAAGGCAGTGTCATAGTATATTTCCAAGCTGACCACAATCGCATTAACAGGAGCGCGAGATAGGGTTCTTTATTAGCATTGGGGCGGGTGGGGGGGGTGAGGGGTGTAAACCCAGACCAAAATATCAACACAGCGCTGGCAGCGTCCTGTGAAAGACAGTATAACTGGATGGACATGGGTGTAAGTGAACCTACCAGAGCTGTGCGTGGCCACGCCCTTCTCCCGGCCACCACCTTCAGCCCACCCCGGGCTCTTGCTTCAGCCGCTCGATGGCATGAAAGGCACCTCTCGCCTTGAAGGCGCCAATCTTTTGAAAGTTTTCGCACTTGAACCAGAAACGAATGACGGGCTTCGCGGGGGTGCGGCCGGCCCACTCGGAGCCTGCCAGCTCGGCCTCGGTCCGGGGCGTCGAGGCTAACCGGTCGAGGGTCGAGTTGGTCAGCACCGGCGTCTCGTGGATGTACGGCTTGATCAGCTCATGGGCGGCCTGCACCGAGGCGCGGGTAAGCGGGAGGGTAGTGGACAGGTCGGCCATGGTGGGTGTTGTCGACGTGGTGATAACGGAGGAGGCCGGGTTCGGAGGCTCGGGGGAGAACGGACCGGGGCGGGATCGGACGGGTGGACTCGGGGTTGCAAGTGCCGTGTGGGGTAAACGCCGGTAACGGTGAAGCAGGGGGGTGGTTTAGCACGTGTCAGGTTGTACGGGAAGAGAACGCACTTGGGGGGGGGACTTCGGCTGGATCTTAAACAAGGAGGAAACGGCCAACATCCAGATTTATATCCACTCCTTTGTGGATATCTCATGGCCTACTTTCTGACGCACAGAGGAAGAAACTCGCCGATAACGGAAGGTGACAATGGATTGCCCCATTGCACACCGAAGAGTCACAACATGACGAGCCAAGGGCGTGAGTGCGAGCGCCAAGTTGATGGTTTCGCTTATACGGTGAATACGATAGCACTGGACGAATGAAGAGTTAGATCAAATATATCAAGAGAAATATCAACAAAATGGAAGAAGAACTCACTAAATTCTACAGGGGTTGAGCCGAGGTCAAGGAGGGGGAGGGAAAAGAGGAGGGGAAAAGTGGTTCATGGCTCGGACTTGGTGCCGTGTAAGTGCGTTTTCCCCATCAGAAAGCATTTCCATCCTTCCAAAAAAAAGAAAAAAAAAAAGATAATTCGTCACGAAACGGCCCAAGCACCGTTTTCACTCCGGACCCCCGAACTTAACGGCCGGAAATTCGTCCGGCCGGTTTTGGCTCCGCTCGACTCCCTTGCTGGCCCGGCTGAGGCCCGGTTGAGGCCCGGTTAAGGCCCGGAGAAGAGCGGGTCCCCCTGGTTCCCATTACATACACGAGTCAGCCACTCCGCCGTGCCATGCCATCATGCTAACGAAGAGGCGGTCGAGGGCTGGGGTGGAGTGGAAAGTGTAAGTGTGAGGGTATCTTCAACGAGATAAGATGTCAACGTCAACAACATAGCCTTGCATCATATGGCATATAGTTGACATGGCTCGCAGTTGATCTGTTTTTGACTTTATAATTAACCAGTGTTAATACACGTTCGAGACGTCCTGGGGTACATCCCTTCTTGTTCGTATCCAACTTGGATGAAAATGAACCGCCACCGGCTAACACAGTACAGCTTCATGATAGATGTTTGATCATCACCAACTCCGTGCCACGTCGGGAATCAACTTCGGATGAGGGACTCGCATTTGATCATGTGGTCTCGCGCCGATGTCATGACAAAGAGAAATGCGTCTTCCCGAAACGAAAGACTGGTTGGCAGTCAGGTAACCGGGGCCTTCAAAAATGAGACGCCCAGAGGCCGGAATCCATTCCGGCCACCGTCTATATAGGCGCACAACTCGACCGCCCAAATTCACATCCTCTCAGCACCAGACAGGTCAACACCGAGGTCAACACAGCTCAACTTGGCAGTCTTTTCACCACTGTTGAACTATTTCTTTTTTTAAAAAAAACTATCCTTCCTCGCCATGGGCTCCCTCGGACACGCCATGGCCCCCTACACCGTCCTGGACGACACCCGTCCAGACGACATGTCCCTCCCGGCTTTTATGGTGTCTAGTACCCGCGGCTTCCTCCCCCGGATGGATCCCATCGTGACACTGCCGGCCGAGTTCGACGCGCTCGAGTCCATCCTCCAGCGCATGCCCGTCAAGACCCTCTCGGGCGAGCCTGGCCTGCTGGCCGAGAGCAAGCTGGGCGACACGGTGACTAAGGAGCTGCCCGACCTCACCGACGCCGTCGACAAGTACAAGGACAACCTGCCGCTCATGAACGCCCTGTACAGGGACTACTCGTTCCTCGCGTCCGCCTACCTGCTCGAGCCGTGCCACGAGCGCTTCGTCAGGGGCGAGGAGTACGGGTTGGGGAGGGAGGTGCTGCCGGCCAACATCGCACGGCCCATCGCCAAGTGCGCTGCTCTGTATGTTTTGTCTCTCCTTTCTTTACCCCCCAACCCCTTTCAACTTCAACAATCTTCTTTCTCCCAACCCCCCCCCCCCACTCACTATTTATATAGGTAGCTAACTCTCACTACTCAAGCAAAGGGGGACTCACTCGGCTTGCGGGATCCGAGTTACCGCACCCGTGGCACTTCCATAATCAGGAAGGAATGAAACGAAGGCCACAACAAACAGGATTGCGTGTTTCTTCGCCCAGCTTCAAATTCAGCGGGTCATGTTTGTCGTCCGTCGGCTGCGGAATCAAAACAGTATGTCCGTCTCCCGCGAGCTTAAGGGCTCGAT